CAACAAACACACCAACAGTCATAAAACACAGCAAGAGAGTGTACAACAGAATTAACGAAGCTTTGGAAACAGAACACATTAAAGTGAAGCGGTAAATTGTAGGAGTGGGTCTTAGATCCACTGGAGATCCAGCTGGTTAGGAGACGCTTCATAGAAAAGTTAGGAATACAAGCCCTGAACACAGAAGGATATGCACAGTCTCTTCGACAAATGGTGCTGGGAAAATTGGGCAGCCACATGCAAAAGAAGGAAACTGGACCACTTTTTTTCACAGTACACAAAAATAAACTCAAAATGGATGAAGAACCTAAATGTGAGACCTGAAATCATAAAACTCCTAGTACAGAACACAGGCAGTAATCTCTTTGACATCAACCATAACAACATTTTTCTAGATACATCTCTTAAGGCAAGGGAAACAAAAGCAAAAATAAACTACTGGGACTACATCAAAATAAAAAGCTTTTGCACAGTGAAGGAAACCATTAACAAAATAAAAAGGCAACCTAATCAGTGGGAGAAGATATTTGCAAATGATATATATCTGATAAAGAGTTAACATCCAGACTATATAAAGAACTTATACAACTCAACACTGAAAAATCCCAAAAAACAAATAACCCCCATTAAAAATGGGCAGAGGAGGGGTGCCTGGGTGGCTCAGTCAGTTGAGCCTCTGACTCCTGATTTCAGCTCAGGTCATGATCTCAGGGTCATGACCTCAGGGTCATGAGATGGAGCCCTCCTACGGGCTCTGTGTTCAGCAGGGAGTCTGCTTGGGATTCTCTCTCTCCCTCCCCTTCTGCCCCTGCCCCTGCTCCTGCACTCACTCACTCTCTCAAATTAAATAGACTTTTTAAATTGGGCAGAGAAGCTCAACAGACATTTTTCCAAAGAAGACACACAGGTGGCCAACAGACACATGAGAAGGATGCTTAACATCACCCATCAACAGGAAAATGGAAATCAAACCCACAATGAGATATCACCTTACACCTGTCTGAATGGCTAGAATAAGAAAAACAAGAAATAAATGTTGGTGAGGATGTGGGGAAAAAGGAACCCTCATACGCTATTGGTGGAACATAAACTGGTACAACCACCACTGTGAAAAACAGTACGGAGTTTCCTCAAAAGATTAAAAATAGAAATACCATATAATCCAGTAATTCTACAATAGGATATTTACCCAAAGAAAAATGAAAACACTAATTTGAAAAGATATATACACCCTTATGTTTATTGAAGCATTATTTACAATAGCCAAGATATGGAAGCAACCTGAGTGTCCATCGACAGATGAATGGATAAAGAAGAGGTGGTATATATACACAATGGATATTACTCAGCCAAAAAAAA